CTCAAAGGCTGATGGGCTCACACATTGCACTGTCCTGCTGCTCTCCTGGGTCATTCTCTGCCCGTGGGGAGGCACAGATTCCAAAGTGACCCTGGCACTACAATCAGGGGCCATCTGGCACTGAAGCTCCAACAGCCTCTCAGGCGGCTGACAGGGAAGGTGTGGCATTCCTCAAGGTTCTGGTGAGGGCCTCCCTCTGCTCCTGCCATGTCCTTTGTCTTTCAGTAGTGACTGACACCCAGCCCTGTCCCACAGCTCCATCCTGGCTCTGCAGGTGGCTTCCTGGCTGAGCTCACTCCTTGTGAGAGACACTTCTGCAGTTCACGTTCTCCTCAGGCCTGCACCAGCATTCCTGCCTTCCTGACGTCTACAGTATTGTTGGAAATCCTGGTCATTCAGGAGATAGGCATGTGTGCAAAGATACTTTGATGTATGTCACAGAGCCTCTACAGCCACCTCTGTATATGGAAGAGGACCAAGGTGTTTTTTCTCCCTCTTTTGTCAACTGAGAATTCTGACCAGCAGTAACAGAGACTCTCATAAGGCCCAAGTAACGAATGAACTTATACACTCCTGGGGATGCCAGTGAAGGAAACCGTATGTCGTGTAATACATGTATGACCAGAGTCACCAAACAGCACCTAACCATGGAATTGTTCCACCTCTCTAGGACAAGGAAAAATTTTAAAGAATTAAGTGGGGACTTCAGGGCAGAAGAGGCCAGAGGAGGAAAACAGCTTTGAGGGGAAAAAAACCCCATATCTGGAGAGGGAAACATCTCTGTCTGTTCAGAACTGGTACACGGAGCATGTCTCTAATCCTCTCCTGAAAGGGATGCTTTAGGTGAGGTTTGCACCTCCAACATCCTTGGACCAGAGATGGGAACTTGGCCACCTGGCCACACGCTGCCTCACGTTCAGCTGCCTCACGTTCAGCTGCTCTGGACGGGCAGCACCCCTGGCTCCTTTTGGCCCACGCAGCTGGCCAGCCAAAAAGTTGCCCATCTGACTTCAAATACTGTATCCTCCATTTCAACACGTCCCTCCTGTGCAGAGCAACACAAGACAGCACTCAAGGACTTTCAGCTTCACCCCCACTCCAGGCTCCAAGGCACTTTCCAAAGCTGCAGACTTCACCGCGAAACAGATGGAGCATTTCCTGCCCTCAGGGGAATTTCTCACAGGTGCCTTGCACTGACTCTTTGTGTCTGTGTGCACACAGGAGTGCCTGTGCTGGGGAAATGTGGCAGAAATGCTGCTCTCGGAGGGGTTGGAGTGCCTTGGATAGCTGACCCAGTCAGATATCCAGTTTTCAGTAAGTAAGGTTACGTCACGAGGTCTAAGCTAAGTTAAACGTGGCTAAGAGTTGTTCTTTTACTAAGTTGTTAAGTGTAATTTAAGTTATTAGCTAAATTAAATATTGTGAAGTGTTATTCCTTGGTTAAATTGCTAAATCATAGGTTATAAATTAGGTTAAATACTGTTAAGTGCTGTTCTTTTATTAAACTCTGATGTTTAAGGTATCAGTTAAGGTTAAGGTATAAGTTCAGTCCTGTTAAGTTTAAGCTCTGTTAAGCTTTAAGGCCGTATGCCTTTTATCCTTGCCCTCACTGTCCTTGTGTCACACACACACACACACACACACACACACACACACACAAGGACAGTTCTCAATTCATTTCTGCTTTGATTGGCTGGATTTTGTTTGGTTTTGTTGTTGCTTTGTTTCATTGCTGTGCCTGAAGTGTCCAGTTAGGAGCAGAGTGACTCTTGCCAAAGAACTTTGTGGTGCCATTGCTTAATATTAAATCTGGTTTTTGCTGATCCCTTGCAGGGATTTTTTCAGTGCTCTAAAGCCCTCATTTGTAGCAGGGTGAAGGAGCCCTGGCCCAGGCTCTGGCCCTGGGGGACACGGGGACACTGCCGGGGGGCCCCTATCCCCCTGTTCCACCCTCCAAGGCCCCGGCCCCCCGTCCCCGTGTCAGGCTCTGGGGTCGATCTCGTGGAACATCCTCTGGGGGAGGCTGCAGCGCCGGGGGCGGGGGGACCCGGGGGGACAGGGGACCCCACTGTGCACAAGCAGGGTTGGACTGCTCTGGGGGAACTGTGAGGGGGGCTGGGGCAGAGTGACCTCCCCAGTGGCCTCACAGTGCCCCCTGTGATGTCACACAGCTCCTGTGATGTCACACAGCATCCTGTGATGTCACACAGCCATCCTGTGATGACACAGCCCCTTGTGATGTCACAGCCCATATTGTGATGTCACAGATAATGCTGTGATACCACACAACGTACCCTGGGATGTCACACAGCCATTCTATGATTTCACAGGGAGGTCTGTGATGTCACACACATACCCTGTGATGGCAGAGTCCATTCTATGATGTCCAGCCTATGATATAACAGAGCCTAATGTGCAATGTCACAGGCAACTCTGTGATGACACACACAACTGCTCTGTGATGTCACAGCCTGCTCTGTGATGTCACAAAGCCCCTTAATAATATCATGGGCCAGTGCTGGAATACCATTCTGTGCTATCATAGAGCTGCACTGTGATGTCACAGAAGATTCAGTGATGTCACAAACTCACCATGTGATATCACAGACTTTTCTGTGATGTCACAGCTGGTCCTGTGATGTTACTCAGTCACACAGGGATGTCATAACCTCCTCAGTGATGTCACAAATCCCTCTCTGTGATGTCATACTGCCAACGTAATATAACAGCACACACTTTCACATCACAGCCTGCTCTATGTCATACAGCCATGCCATGATGTCACAGCCTGCTCTGTGATGTCACAGAATCCCCTCTATGATGCTGTAACTGCACAACAACCTCTGTGATACAAAGTGTCCCCAGGTTGAAGCCAGAGAAGAACACTGGAGGCACTGAAGACAGCTGGGGACAAGCAAGACAAATGTGTCTCTGATCCCAGCAAGGCCCTGTTTGCAAAGCCCCAGTGGGAAATTAAGGAGGGGGGGGGGGTCATGCTGCTTTTGGGGTGAATAATGCTGAAAGCAGCCTGATTCCTCCATCCCAATGTTCCACATCCTCAGAGGGAGCTGTAGCTGTGGCAGAGCTGGAAAAATCCCTAGAGAAAGGAACAACCAAGGGACTGCACTGAGAGCTTCTGCAGAGCTGCTGAGCTGGCCCAGCCTGGGCACATCTGACTGACATGGCAGCACTTCAGACTAGAAAAGCCCCATTCCAAATTGTAATGGCAGTATCTCCTCACATTTCCCTTCTTGGGGGTTGTGGAGATTCCTCCCTGGAGCGGGGACAACCCTCGAGGTCACTGCTCCAGGCTGAACCAAAGGGATTTGCCCACGGTCATTGGTCTGGCGGAGTGACATCAATCTCTGCTTAAATAACTGGTTTTGTTTTATTAAAGTTGCTTTGAAATCACATCCAAGTGCTCTATACAATATAATATGTTACCACTCTTATATCTTGGTGTAATTATTTCTTATTAAGATAATTTTGTCTCATGATTGCTATAATAGATATTTATATAAATATCACTGGTTTGCCATCCTTAATCCTGTGGGACAAATTCTGTAAAGGTTTAACTCTACCTTGATAATTCTTTACACATGAACACTTGAAAAGTCTGAGGACTGGACTGGAAGCAGCTGCTCCAAGGCTCCTCTCACAAAAGGAGCTTAGAAATCCTGGAGGTCCTTGGGGGTACTTGGGTGTCGATATGACAATCTGGTCAGAGACAGAGAAAAATAATAAGCTTTCCCATGAATTGGTCTGGGAACTTTTCGAGAGCTGAAGAAAAAGAATTGTAAATTATCCACAGGTGGTATTTGTAATAAGATGGTTTTTTTTCATAAAGTTGTTTACTGAAGGGTGTTCTTAATTAGCCAATCACGTTAAATGTGTTGAATAAATGATCAATGAGATCCACCTGTAGCAAACCAAGGTATAAAAGAAGATAATTGAAAAAAGAAGTGGCTTTTAGCCTTTAGCTTTCTGGTCTGAATCTGTGTCATCTCTGACTCAATGGTGATATTTGGGGATCTGTGAGGGCTATTGGGGGTCCTCTCTGCATGTCGTGTCCTAACAGGATCTTCTCCAATAAGCTTTGTCTGAAGCTCCCACTGTGCCCATGACAGGAACCCCTGTGAGTGTCTGGGGCATCCTGGTTCATTGGCAGCCTGGGGACTCCTGGGATGTCACTATGGAATGGCTGTGACTGTCTCTGACCACACGGCTCTTTACCATCCCCAGAAACCCCTGGGAAGTGTCCATGGAGCCCCTGTCTCTGCCTGTGACATTCCAGCTCTTGAACAGCATGGAGACTCTTGGAAAGCCCCCATGGAACCCCTCTGAGTGTCTGTGACAAATCTGATCCTTAGCAGGCAACCATCACCAGGACCCTTAGGAGAGATAACTCGTAGGGGAAGGAGTGGAAAAGTGTAGCTGACGGGACGACCAAGAAGAGGGGGAGAGAGAGAGCCCGGGGCAGAACCATAAGCAGGAATGGGGGGTACAGGAATAAACCAACTTAAACTAATGCACCCCAACAAAACAGGAATAGAATCAATACTGGTAACAGAAGGGAAAAGAAAAACTTTCCACAGGGAAAACCAAAACACAACTCACTGGGCCATCCTGGCCATGTATTTCCTCCTGCCTGGGAAGGACACCCTTCTCCTCAGGGAGAGAGAAAGAGACCCTTCCGTGACCCTGGCAATGACCTGAGGAGGGAGTGAATATAATGACACGGCCCTAGCCAGACCCTCATGTTCTTCGATCCCACATCATGTGGTGCAGGGGCAGGAAAAGGGACAGATGTCTTCCCAGCATGGATCACAGTGAACATGGATCACAGGTCTCTTCCCAACATGGGTACTTCAATTGATTATGAAGTTGAAGCCAGGAACAAAGCTCTCCCTGCAGTTGGGGCATTTGCAGGGCTTCCCTTACTGGTGCTTCCTTTGGTGTCTGCTTAAGTTAGAACTGTGGGTGAAGCTCTTCCCACAAATGGGGCACTCGTAGGGCCTCTCCCCAGTGTGGATGCGCCAGTGTCTGATGAGGTGGGAGTTGTACTTGAAGCCCTTCCCACAGTCCAGGCAGCGGAAGGGCCTCTCATCAGTGTGAATCCGCTGGTGCAGGAGGAGATTGGAGCTGGTGTGAAACCTCTTCTGGCACTCAGGACACTCATAGGGCCTCTCCCCAGTGTGGATGCGTTGGTGGTTGACAAGTTTTGAGCTGCAGCTGAAGCCCTTCCCACACTCCCCACACTCGTAGGCCCATTCCCCAGTGTGGTTCATCTGGTGTCTGATCAGGTGGGAGCTCTGCCTGAAGCTATTCCCACACTCCAAGCACTTGTAGGGCTTCTCCCCATCACGAAGCTGCTCATGAGCCACCCGCTCTGAGCTCTGGCTGAAGCTCTGCCCACCTCCCTGGCACAGGGTAGGCATTTCCCCCTCAAAGCATCCTGGGCTGGATTTGCAGGACCTCCTCCTGTGGGATCTCAGGGGCTTTTCCTCCCCCTTGGATTCCTGCCCTGTGGTGTTGCTCAAAACAGCCTCTTCCATGAGGTTCTGCCTTGGGGATTTGTCCTCCCTGGTCTCCATCCTCAGCTCCTTGTCTGGGGGAGGAAGGACAAGGTGAAGATAGGATTTGCCTCCGTGCCACAGGGAAGGGGAAAGAGATCTCCCCAGTGCATCCCAAGCAGGACGGCGTTGGCTGAGGGGTTGTCCTGCAGCCAGGGGCCATGCTGGGCTGGAGCAGGAGAGAGGGGGAAAGGGGCACTGACTTCCTCCTCACCTGCCTGGGTGTCCTGGGGCATCTTCCTCTTCCTCACAGCCTCCTCCTCCATCCGACCAAGGTTTGGCAATGGGTAATTCTGGTCTGAGGAAAAATACAATGTATAAGCACATTGGGTTAAGGGGTTCCTCCTGCCCAAGTCCATCTCTGGTGTTGCAGCACATCCACAATGAGCCCCTATGAGCAACCTGCACTCCCAGAGCCCAGAGCACGCTTGCTTAACCTGCTGACGGACAAGGCCAGAGACGGGTCTGTGTGCACAGCTCCAAACGCAGTTTATTGCCATGTAGAGGGGCCAGGGACAGAGACAAAATGGGGCTGAGGACACAGGGTTTGATAAGGGGGGAAAGGGGCGGGTCTGAGGGCCAAGGTCCAATGGGAACTGAGCACAGGTGGCGCAGAGGAGGGGCAGCCAACTGGGGAACCAATCAGGTAACAGGGGCGGAGCATTGCAGTAACCCGGGACCAATGGGGGACAAGAGAGGGGAGAACATTCTAGGGGGAGTACATATAAGGAAAAATGGCAGCTAGACTGGGTGATACCGATGAAGCCTGCTGCATTCACATGAGCCTGCAAATGCTGATGATGAGACCATTGTCCTCAGAGGGGTGTCTCTCTCTGACTCTGGTCACCTTTGCCCTGAGCTATTGCAGTTCCAGTGTTGGGCCCCTGTGCCTGCACACTCTAGAAGTCACCAGGAATTTGGTGCCCATGTAAGCCTCCAAGACACCAAGATTTAGTCCCCCAAAATACACAAATGTCCAAGATTCAGCAAGAAACCCCAACCCTTAGTTTCCCCTCTCTGGTTTCTCCACTTTGGGCTCCTGGAGGCCCCCCTGCCTGGGTTGCTGCGGGTCAGGTTTGTATTGGTGTCCCCCTCTCTGGGCTGCTGGGGCTCCTGGCAATCCCGCAGGTTCCCCTTCTCTGGGCTCACCACTTTGGCATCACAGGCATCCCAGGGGTCAGCACTGGCCGGGGTCCCTGTTTCAGCGTCCTGGGGTATCCAAGGGTCCACCCTGT